TTATAATGCATAAACATTACACACGCACACACACATAATACAATATATAATGTGTGTGTGTGTGTGTGTGTATAACATATTATACCAATTTCTCGTTAAGTAACATATTATAAATATAATATATATTGTGTCGATCGTATTTATATGGAATTTACATACATATTATTATATTACTACACGCATTAACATTATACGGTGGGTTTCTCTCGTGGTCGGTCCCGCTGTAGCGGTCGACACGAAAACGACTGTATTTCGATTACAGCAAGACAAATATTTATATTGTGTTCAATTATAATAATATATTATATGCGTGCCCTGACGGAGAGACATATTTAGTAGAAATTTAACCGGAATCGGTAATAATTATTTTATTTAATTTACAAGCATTTTATAAGCGCCGTGCTCGAAAGGAGCATCTAATTTATGCAGGAGAGATAATATTATTACACCCGCAGTCTATAACGACGATATTATTTTGTATTCCATTATAATAATTATTACTCAACGAATTGTTTTTCCTTTTTGTACGATCAACGCTCTGAACTTGTGACTACTGACTATATATATATAGTGATCGTCGGGTTTCGATATTTCTGTTTTGAAGTGAGTATAAATCATTTTCATTTAAATTTCTACAGAATTTTGATGATATTTTGTATTCCATTATAAAATTATTATCACGCAACGAATTTGTTTTTCCTTTTTGCACGATCAACGCTTTGAGCTACTTCTGTTTTGAAGTGAGTAAAGCGTTTTTATTTAAATGTCTGCAGAATTTAAGAGTATATATTCTCTGCTTTTCACAAATGGTACGTTGGACTCAGACAACAACAAATTGACACGAGGCTGATTATCGAAGTTCTGGCAGCATTTAGTTGCCTATAAAACGTAAAGCGCATTACTTCCATAGTATAATAAAATCATTTAATATAATACGTTTTGCTAAAGTAATATAAAGTAAGAGAGTTGTAATTAATAGTGAAAAAGCAAACAGAAATCTTATGAGCGATTTCACCTCCTGTCCATCGATATTGGGTCGTAGGTGAGTGGGGAAATTCGAAACGAATTAATTTTCCCGACGAAACTCATTATCATTCGTCAGAGATGCAAACGCCAGATCTTTTTATTACAATAGGAAAATGGTTTTAATTGAAAATGTTATTTATAAACGTCATTGAGAATGGCTTTCGAATTCGAGACTTCTCTATTGACAACTGTGTCTCATTTGTTCCTATTATTACTTATACATATACATATTACATATATATATATATATATATATTATACTACAGCTGGCCAACAGCCAGTACAGAGAACGTAATAAACAATCATTTTGAAAATGTTTACTCGGTAATGACATTGCTGTGGGCTAATAATGAAATAGAGAATAATAAATTGTGCGTGAAGTATCTAAGAAAAATACCTGTCTAGGAACGGTTTGATTAAATTTATGTTATAGGTATTATAGAGGTGAATTATACAATTATTTATTATATTTATTCATTCAATTGTAGGAAATCAATGGCATAGATTTTTATGGACATACAAGTTAACATATTATCCTAATAACATATTCATATATGTGTATACGATAATTGGTATTTTTGACTATAAAAGAATTTTTAACTCTTGCAGGATATCGGTTGAAGTGATAAAAGTTTTATGAATTGAGCAATAAATATAAATAAATTATAATATGATATGTTTTCGGTTGCGCATAAGCAGTAAATAATACTACTCACTTCATTATTAATACCCACTCTGAAAAATTGTGCTCGTGTGGCGTTATACTATTATAATAATTTTGCTGATCTACGTAAACCGAGTTGTCGATAATTATATTATTCTTAGTTCGAGCGAGCTGATAAACAGGTGCAGTTTCATCATTATGCAGAAAAAAAAAGCGCACCGTTCACCTCGTAAAAGTTATCATATTACCATAAGTCCGATTCGTGGTCACAATAATACGGTAGCTAGATCAGCCGACGAGATCCATTAATTTATTCATGCGCATGCACGTTTGTGCTTACGTTGAAGTGACTTCACGATATTATTTTACACCAAATACGACGTCACAGAACGTCACGATTTAAGTCTGTTTAAGGGCCTTTTGTATGCACTATAATATAGAACATTATAGAACTCGGTAGAGCGCGTCCATGACTCTTATTATTATATACATATTATTTATTTGTTCATATTATTATGCACACAAGTCCTGTCGATATATAAAACACAATGTACAAGTTGCATCGATATTATGTTATACGCTCGATATAAACAATATCAAAATAATAATAATATAATACGTGATCTAGCCCGGCCCTCGGTGTGCGTTATATCCTTGTCCTCTGTTCATATACCAATGTATTTCCGGTAAATCAATATTTGAAAAGAATATCATCGGGAGTCGTCTCGAAACGTAGACTGCAGCACTATAATAGATTTATTATATTATTTTAATCAGACCACACTACGCGTATTGTACAAAAGTGAAATAATATTTAACGCTCGTTCCGGAGTAGAGACACAATGCGTGTCGCGTACCTCTTCGATAATGAATAATATTATAAAGAGTTATCAGTTTATCACGACAATAGAATAATATTATATCATTTATTTATTACGTGCACAATGCACATTATAGTCGAGCGAACAATATATTCCTGTCTGCGGATTTATAATAATATAATATTATCTAGTTTCGTTAAACACATCAGCCACCACCTTCGAAAGTGACGCGAATAGTTTATATTCGATATACGCGAGGAATATAGGAATTTCTATCTCGTTTTAACCGATGATCGCATTTGCCAAGTATTAACAATTATACATATATACAGGGTGATTCACCAAGCATGTGACCCTCATTTTTCCCTAAGAGTCATACATTTATATAAATCCAGATTTTTGAATTTTTAAACAATATAATATAAAAGAGCACCCTTTAAGTTTTCCAATTTTATGGAATTTAAGACGAAAGCGTGCCTTCGTAATGATGGTAGACAATTTTTTTCAAGTTCTATTTTACTGTTTATTTTTATTTGTAAATAACCCTAACTGTTGTAAAAAGCATTGATGTAGCCAATTCGAACAGTTACTGTTATGAATGAGTTATGCGACCTATTATGTGCATTGTGCATTGAGGAGGATAAATGATAATATAGGTTTAAGACTTAAAAATATGATAGGAGACTATGACGATTTTCCACTATTATATCCATAGTACGTTGTTAATTTCAACAGACGCACAATCAGAGGGGAAAACGGGGTTGAGCTTGCTCGGTGAATCACCCTGTGTACGTTATATTATTATTATATTATACACACGCACGCTGTGTACGTTGAGTTGTAAATTATGCGGCGGTGGGCGAATCGCCGAATAAAAGCGTCAGTGGGGGGGTAGGAGAAGGAGGAGGACTAAAAAATACCGAAAACGTGCGCTGTAGGTACGCATAAACAACGGCGGACGTCAATCCGCGAGAGCGGAAAAAAATCTCTGTTCGCAGATTATTGGGGCGGACGTACACTGAACAGAGGCCCCATCGGACCGGTGCCAGGAAATTTATTGCGACGAATCCGTTTCGTCGAGCCACGAATTCATATACACGTTTACACATTATACACGTGCACACTATCAAATATTGTGTGCATCACCGTTACGCTGTTATCAGTGGCCTATTATGTATTATTGTTATTATTATTTTATGCGACATAAATTTATCGTCCCGGAGTGCGCCGACTATTATTGGATTTAAGGGCGCCGACACCGCGTCGCGTATTGTTCCATTTTGTAAACTTTCGATTGTTGTCCGACGAAACGGCTAGTGCAAGTATATAATATTGTAGTATTATAATTGCGTATACATCACGCGTGCATTATACTTGGGTAAGTTTTGCTTTTGAGTTTCGCCGAGCCGTCGCTATATAAATATACAATCGATCCGCCGACGACACGACACGCGTCATCCTGCACACCGTTTTTGAATGTACTGATTTAGTTTAATTATTTTTTATAGTTTTCGATTTTCGACTTAGATTTTTATTTTTTTATTTCATCTTCTAATAATTTTCCTATACAAGTCATGGGTTTTTTCACGGAAAAAAATATATCTGTGAATCGATGAGATTCATAATAGTATTATTATTATTTAACTACTAAAAGTGTTTCGCGACTGACACCGCACGATGGTTACCAAGTCATTATTAGTACGACACTGATTTATAAGTGTTATATTATTCTACCCACCTACACTTAAAAAATAATCAGTATAATAATATTATGTTTGATAATCTTATCTGGCCGCGTCTATTATAGTGTTCATATATTATATGGTCGTATAATATAATATATACATTGCGTCAAACATGAAAATATTACCGTAAATCTCACTTAATAAGATTCGCACGTCGTGTAATTGGCCAGACAGCGTCCGCAGCCAGACGGAGGCTGTGCAGGTGACATGGCCGGGGTTATGTAAATAATTTGCCACGAAACGTACATTATATTATTATATATTATTATTGTGTGCGGTATAAATGTATTGGGGGATCAGAAATCCACACGTTGGAATCGTAAAATAACCATATTATACACTGGCGAAAAAAACGCCATATTATACCCATATAATGTCGTACATATTTTATATTATAGTGATTATTATGAAATGTGTTAGAAATATACGTATTATACACGCACAATAATATATTATTAAAATATACCTAACAGTTAAATAAAATGACCACTTTTTGTAATACTCATCCATAAAATAAATGGTGTCTGTGCAGTTATATAATAATATGTAGATGTACCTATATACCTATGTATTATAATAATATGGCGAAATGTTCGTCGTTTCGGTGACAAGAATCACAATTTCCGATCATCCACCCTCCGAACGCATCCGCGCCAAAGATGCGAAGATGCGTATTATATTAAAATGACATATATACGTAATATATTATTATTATATTATGTTTGGAAATACTTACTAAGTAATATGGTTTGTGTTACAGGTTACGCCGAAAGCTGTGTGAATGAAGGGGAAATTGTTAACGTTCTCACCATCAAAAACATGATGTGCTTCACGTGCATGTGCAAAGTGAGTACCCGCACACACATTATTATTATTATTATTACTATTATTTACAATTATTTTGTACAATATTTTTGTATCGAATATTTTTCAATGGCATTGAATATTATCGTAACGCATAACATATATCTATATATTATGTAATACCTAAGTGGACAAATCGATAATAGTATAATATATCGAAATACATATTATATTGGCTAGGTATGATTTTCTGCACGGCAATATACGCTCATAATAATTCAACAACGATATATTAATAATAATAACGGAGCTCGCGCGGTGAAAGTTCCATTTCTCAAAACTGGGTTACACTACCTTGCCCAAAGCACTGTGCGCAGATAACCCGTCTGGAATCCGCCGGCGTCACCGCTGCTGCTGCTGCCACCGCCGTTTTGCCCACCCGGTCACCCAAGTCTTTGGTGTGTTGTACTACACACGCGCGCATATTATATAGGTTAGGCTAGGCACCTACCTGTTGATTATAATTGCACTTTGAATTCGATCTGTCCGCGCGTGTGTTCATTACTAGACTGTATACGACAGGAAATTGTGTTCGTATAATAATATACATATACGTTGAGCACGATAGGTACACTTATACAATATTATAATGTTCGTGTCATCATTATTTCAATAACATACTAAGTATTTGGAACATATTAAGATCTTGAATTAAAGTTAGGATTTCGTGGGACCTATGTATAATAAGGGTCTTTAAGTCCACGTCTCGTGACGGTTTTATACGACGATTATTCTCATCGAGTGCGCAGTAAGGGCGACACAATTTGCATATTTTTAAATTACGACCACTACTTCAGATTCAGAATTTAAAACTTATTCATCATCACTATGTCTAACGAAAGTTGATAATTAATAATGAAAATTAAAATGTAAATAAATGCCTACAATAATAATTGTACAACTCTGTTTACAGGAAAATATCATCTAGTATTATAGGTATTACCAAGTTATCTGTTATAGGAATAGAATGGGACCAAAATCCATATTATTATTTTAATATTTTATTGATATTCACGCATATTAATATCTCCTACTACTCGTTGTATATGATACCTAGTCCATACAATATTAATAAAAATGCACTCACTGAACGTTCAATTAAAAGATATTATAATAAATGTGCACGAATCGTTTAATATTATATATTAATTGAGTTGAAAATATTTAGTGTTGCACTGCAGCAGTTGTAGTCAATAACGAATCGAATAATTTTGTGCAACTACTATCGGCACTCGATAATACACTATATTATTATCATTTATTATAGCTAGGATAAGTCTATTCAATAGGCCTTTTATATTGCCGTATTATTATTTAGATACGATACTATCTAGTTTGCAACTATAGTCAGAAAAAATACTATGTCCACAAAAATTCCAAAATGACCTAAGCGATACGCATCATAAAAAATTCTCTTTATCGTATCGTAACATTAAATTATTTGACTTATAGATTCCCTTCGGAAATATCATTAATGGTTCTTAACATTTTAATATGGTCATAAAATAACGATATACTTGAATTAATATTAATATTTATTATACTAATTTTATACACGTTTTAATTAGGAGAATAAGTAATTTATTGCTCAGGTGAACCTTATATATATATATATTATGCAGTATGTACATAAAAAATATATATATTACCTACTCGTCGATAAAATATCAATGTTAAAATAATATATACTAACGTATAAATTAAATGTTATAATATTATGTATTTCGCATTACATATCATTATATTAACATCTCATTGCTGGTTTCGTAAGTCATACCAACGGGTACGAATATTTCTACGAATAATATAATTTATTATTATTATTATTATTATTATTAATACGTTCCGATTGAAATACATATTATTAATAATAATAAATAATAATCTAATACGTATAATAACGAGACTCAGAGACACGCGATACGGCAGTCCTGCGGTATGATTTGTGACTTGGTTAATACACCAAAGGCCAAAAACCCACGTACCTTTCCGACTATTTTATATTATGTATTATTTTATTATGCTGTTGAATTCCGGTAAACACTCTACACACTAAATCACTAAATACGCTAATCGTTTTTTATGGATTATATCGTACGAGTTACACAATAATAATCGATCACCTACTTACATAATATATATATTATGCGCACGTTATACAGCTGCCGACGAGTGCTTTAAACGGTACGTGTCGATCGTTGCTGCATGATAACTGCATTTGGTGTGATACAATTATTATTGTAGAAGAGAGTTCTGCATTGACTGCATTAATGTAATTACTTGATAGCTGCCGTACTTATGCTTTGTAGTAATTGGGAGTGAAAGTTGATTAATTAATCTACATATAGTCGAATTATGTATTATAATATACCGCAGCCGATACTATCCGATTTTGGAGAACGCGACGATTGTCCCAAAACATTTTGACTTATCGATAACGGAGCGGATTTAACGTTATATTATATATATACGATACACTTATAAGCGGTTATACGTAAATTATATAGTTTATCGAAAATTGTGCAGATTTTCGGACGTCGACTTCGACGTGGCCAAAAATCAAAATGTAATCCATATCGATACAACTTGCGAACGGTTATGCTTCTTTGCAAATGCCAAGGCTATATGGTGCATTAAACTCGTTTTATACTCGACCGTTTTCAGCGAATTATCGTCGTCCCACTATCCTCTACAGCTATACCAGCCATTATTAGTTATTACTGTTTAATAACACCCTCGAGGTTAAACATATTATATTATTATTACTAATAAATGGTAATGAAGTACAGCGTCGTGGTCATGAAAAAAAAAAACAGAAAAAAAAATTGACGAATTTGACGACGTCTTATACCGAAAATCGTCAGTTTTCGGGATTGCGTATTTGTGTTTCGGAGCGCGCGTGGAAAAGAAAAGAATTCAATTGTCGGTCGTCATTTGCCATGCTCATAAAACGTCGTTACGCGGCTTTGACTTTATACAAAGTTTGTATCAAACTTTTCAATCAACTTTTGTGTTGACGGACATAAAATATCGAAAACTGCGTTTACCGATACTGCAGCGAACAAAATATAATATTTTATATAGATCGCGAATTTCTTTCCGACCATTCGTGGCCGTAACGGCTATATTATGTAGGACTCGAGTTGTTCGGATGCGATTCATATGTTACAATAAAAAAAAAAAAAAAAAAACAATAATAACAATCGTATTTCAAAATGTATAAACTTTCTTTACAGAGCAAGTCATGCAAATTTAAAAGTAAAAGCAAAACACAAATACCTATAGGTATAGTAGGTATACATTATAGTATACATTATAATATTATATTAGGTATAGATATTATTAATAATATAGGTACTTAATTTATACCAATATATTGGTAGATTACATTGGTTACCAATTTTTAATAATATATTAATAATCGGTTTACACGTCCTATATATGATCGGTTTTATACGGTCGATAAAGTGTATAATGGATACATTTTGTATTGAATAAAATAAAAATTGATTGCATATTATATCATGTGTTGTATCAGTCTTTCAAACTATAAACATAACAAATCTGAATTCATTAGAAATAGCATGAATATTATGATATTGAATAAATTAAATAAACCATTTTTTTTTTTTTTTATTAAATATAGTTACACCGACGTATGTCATCTTAACGTCTTTTTGTTGATTAAATACATTTTTCTTTAATCTGAAAGATAGATAACAATTTAATATCTAATTTTAAGGCGTTAGCTATCGAATTTCGTGGGCTTGCCTAATGATTTTGAGTGGCTCTTCAGTTATCAGGGCTTTAAGATTAAAATATCGATACAAGGCTATGAGATGGACTCTTGTTAATATTATATTCTTAGTTTTGTTTGATAATAAATCAATTCGATCTAATATTAAAGCTAACTACGGCACAAAATTGATTTTGCCGAACAGACATTTTCTATTTTGGACTATGTGAGAACGAGACAACTCATGCTGGTTCTGTACGTTCTCTTAATGTAACAAGCAGTTAAAGAATGTATATTATAATTTATAACTTGTAACGTATACCTATGCGTTATAATAGTGATGGCTGCAAACGTTCGCGATGTCCGTTCCACACACGTTTTATTACACGACAACATTCGGAGATAATAAATATTTGAAACATAAAAAAACAATCGATCTCAAGTAGCAGAAACATCCGCGATCGACGATTAATCGCGCGCGTTTACAGCAACTGCGGTTCGGGTGTAAGTTCCAAGTGTATACCTACTAGACATTACTGATAAATACGAGTATATAATAATATAATATCGTTACTTTATTGTTGTATCGCGTATATTATCATATGCACACTACGGACGAAAGGTTATACCTCAGGTATAGAGTATATAGGAAGAGAAATTACTGCAGAGAACACGTTATGCACATAATGTACCTACCTATATATATATTATAATATTATATTATATGGGTAGGTACTACTCGATCGACTAATAGACATCATGTATGCATATTCTACACACAGCGTATCGTACATACCTGCATGCGTTGTTAAAATCGTATTTGGTTTAATACTCGTGTTCATCATCGTCATCATCACTGCCGCTGCATCGCTAGGTATAGGTATATATTATTATAATATCATAATATATATGCACAGCTATATTATAATATTATTATTGTACGTTATACACGATGGCCGGGCAGGAACGAATATTTAAAAAAAAAAAATACGAATAATAACCGAAAACAAAACCGGATACGCGAGCGCATAACATGGTATAGCAAGACGTCTTATCCGTACTTTGTCGAACCGCCCCGTTTAGACGTCGATTTACGGTTTGTTTTTATAAATTAATAATTACATTTCCGAGTCGTCCGCTCGTCGTCGTATTACCTATTCGATTCACTGTTACGTGTACATATTATAATATTATTATTATGTGCGCAAAGTTCGCGGGGTCCAACGGAGGAACATCATATCTAATTTATATTCACGACCGTTTTCTACTCCTTCGTGTCTCCGTCGTCCTCTGGATCGGATCGTCGACGAAGGTGGTTACGAAACCGATTACGGGCCAGCCCACTCGGGCTCGTCTCTCGCCTTAGGTCTCTCCCTAACGTCTTACTCTCGTGTAGTCCAGCTAAATAATATTATCATCTATGAAGCGGATTCTCGATCCTAATTTCCGGGTCCCATTAAAAATATATAGACGCTCACCATAATGGTTGTAGTATTACATATGATTGCAGTATTTACTCTCGTAGGTATACGGCGGCGGGTAAGAAATTCGGGAAAACCCGCGAGTCGAACGGGTTTCGGCCGGTGTGTCCCATAAAAAATTGACTTCCCGACGACGACGACGGATCGACCGCATGAGCATAGGTACACACGGTATACCTATATTATAATAATATTATAACGTGTGTGTGTGTGTGTGTAGTAGAAATTTGTGTGCGCAAAACCAGTTTGGCCGAGAGAAATAAAAAACTTACGGTGCCCACTACGCTCCGCACACCCGACGGTCGGCTAGATTGCCGCCGATCCCATCCAACTCGCGGTCCTCTCTCGCCAAACCATCGTCGGCATATTATTTTAACTATTATAATAATATTATGTAGTTCCGCCGAACGCGTCTTATAATAATATTATATTATTTTAATAATACGAATACGCTTTTATTATTATTACGCACTCGCATCATTGATGGGTACCTCTATATACCAGCTATCTCTACGTTACGCAGCGGTTGATGACCGTTACGGAAAATAATAAAATTAGAATATATTATTATAATAGTATATGTAATATTATGCGCTTCGCGGAAACGTGTACCTATACGCTTCGTATTATAATTATAATTAATTAATTAATATAGGTATTTGACCAGATTTTTCCACGTGATGATCGGAGTGGGGCTTTTTGTGGACCTACAAGGCTACAACTGACGATTTAATATTATGTAGGTATAATATAACGATGCGCATACGTAGTGATTTTTCGTTCAACGCACCTGACCTCCGAGAGAAATTAGTGCCCTGTTCGCGAATTTTAAATTAAAAATAAAGAATTTTTTCAACCACACTATATGTGTCCTAGGAATTCGCAACGATAAAGCTATTAGCTTGAAAAAAAAAATCTACTCAGCAAATGGGTGTCTTGTTCGTTAAAATATCACTCTGCAGCATAGGTATAATAATATATATGAGTGCATATTTTGATTTATCAACCGTGTTAGAGTTAGCGTTCCGCTCCGCTCCCCACCCCCCCGCCTTATCATCAACTGACTGGATTTTTTTGATAAGCATTCGTCTTGGTACCCACACCACGGTATATTAATACCTCTCGACCGTATACCTACGCCTCTCATCGTTGTCGTCGTTACTCAGCTACTCGTTATCTCCAGAGATCTCGATCGCGCCCTGACCAGAGCCAGCACAGTCGTTATCGCCGACGATCGATACTTATACGAACCGGAATTATATTTCTTTATTAAACGCACTGTATGCACACTCACACACACACACGATATTATACATTATATTCGATGGACCGAAACGATTAAAAACACAGTAGATACGGATTAAAAAATAAAATACGCTACCAGAGTTACGCGCGGATTAGTGGCGTCGAGCGGTTGGGATAATATATCATTATTATTATTGTTATTATTATATTAAAACGTGATGATACCAATAACAATAATAACTATATCATATAATATCCACAACAAATCCAATGTCCGTAAGAAATGAAGGCATGATATAGGTACCTACATTATGTAGTCATCGGTCGACAAAAGCAATTTTTTCCTGTTAACTTTAAACATTTTTTTTGACAGTTTTATCGGGAGACAAAACACGACTTACACGATAACATCATATTTATAAAACGAACGAATTTTAAAAATGATCCTTTATGGTTTATACCGGTTAGGTATATTTTATTCCAGTATGGCCGTACGGGAATATAATGAATTTATATCGATTATAACTGTACAGTTATTATAAAAAATATAGATTAACAATTATATTATTTATATTTTTTTTCAATTCCAAAATAAAAAAAATGAATATTTTAATTAAATTTATTTTTCCTTAGATTAAGTGAGCGTTTACTGCAGTCATTTTATCCACACAAGTTTCCAAAGTGTTTTAATAAAATATAGGTATATTTAAAGGTCTTATATTCTAGTAAAATAAATAATACTTGAATGTTATAAATTATGTAGCCTATACCTAGACAGAGTACTATACATTAATGCTCATTTTTACAGCCATGAGCTGTCTTCTCTCTAATCAAGTTGTACTTGCAGATTACCAACAGTATTACCTAAATAATACGCAACGACAAGATGAAACAATAACGATACATATAGTTAGCACTCCTATGACTATCAGCAGATGTACTCCCTCATATTTGTGCGTTGACAAAAAAAAAAAAACCAAAAAAAACGAAAGGACGCTAAAAATAGTTTAGGAATATCGGTAAACCACTAAACCTAGGTAAATTGCAATCGGAAAATGTAGACCCTCCCCCTCCCCTCGATGTCAATCAATTTCCCTCGCGGGGATTAATTCGGTGAGGCGTTTCGCGGGGAAAAGATGTAATAACATTATTAAGCGCACGCGTATCAGAGTCGTTTCACCGCGACCGCGGCGCACCCCGTCCGCGCACGCACGCACACTGCCATAGGTGTACGCAAGGACGCGGCCGCGCGTTTCGCTTTCGACTGAAGGTCGCGCCGGCCGCTTCTCCCGAAAAGACACAATAATAATATTTTATTATTTTATCATATTATCATTATTCGAGTGAAAAACCGCCGCGATAATAAAAATAATAATATAACATATAAATGTGCCGCCATGTGTAGCGTGTGTGTGCTGCGTACGAGTGCGTGTTCGTGAGTATCGTGTGCAAAGTTATAATAATAAAAATAATATTGTTATTCCGTCCGGGGAAACGAATATATTTTATAATAATATTATAGGCGGGCGACCTACCCGTACGATGGATTTTAACACGCGCACGGTAAAACGTACCTATATATGTATATACCTAATATTATATACCTATTATTATATTATACCTACACACATAGTAATATTATTATTGTGATAAACATAACATACTACACGCGCGTAATAACGAAAACGGACACGTGCAGCAGCCTGCGATGATTTAATTACAACGGCGATTTTTTGTTGATTTTTTTTTTTTTATACTGCGATCGCAGCTCAAAAGGTCGCCGCGGGACGCGTCATGACCGCCGCCGAGATGATGTATGTGTACAACTGCTGCAGTTGCACACACGTCACGATAATAATATTATTATTATAAATTATTATAATGGAAACCGAGCTGCACACCATCACCGCGTGCGAAACGCAACATAATTTTTACAGTATCGAGCAATCACTGCACTGCGCACCCGCGGCTAGTTTTTCGACGAGTCTCTGAAATTGGCCGCCGCGGGTATGTCGATCTGAAACCAACACGAACATCGGAACATGTCGTGTCGGACTTTTAAACGTCGTGGTTGGATTTGTAAATTTGAATGAATTAGCAACTGGTACCCAATGTTGAAAAATTAAATATGTAAAACCGTACTAAAAGTACGACTTGGTACGCAATAGAAATTAAAAATATAATAACAGTACTGTCGTACATCACTCGTAAATGAATGGTTATAGAAGTATAAAAAAAATAGCTTAATCAGAATAACAAATTATTCGTGAACATTTTTGGTTAGTTATATATTCAATCGCTTTTACAATGTGGCATTAAAAAAAAAAAAATAAAATTATATGCAAATGAATTAAACTCACTGTTTTGCTACGGCCGCAGCCGTCATCACTATATTATATTAGCTTATATTATTATATAATATTACGAAATTCACATGACGCGGGTTCGAGCCAAATCTCGTCAGCCCGACCTTTCGGTTTTTTTTAATTGTTTTATTATTTCCGTTTACTGGATAGGGTGACTGTGGTGACAATGTGTACGACGACGACTTAAGAAAACGAGAACAAACACACACTCATTACGGAAAATAGTGTCGTAAATCACCGGCGGCTTAGGAGGCTATCTCGATTGTGCGTAAATCGCTCGATTAATCAATTATATTATTATATTATACTCGTACTTCGGATTGCTTTGCGACTACTGCGACGGACCGACCGACCGTCGTCGCTGTCGCACTATTTTATAATAATACTATGGTATAAAATCTATATAATATAAATAAGAGAGAAAAAAAATTATAAAATAAATAAATGGAATACCGCGACGGTAGGAAGGTCGCGCGGTGGCGGCGTCAGAAACGAATTCCAAAAGATCTATATCGTACATTTTTTTCGTTTAATTATCGTCGGCAGGTATTATACGTGTGAAATGGTATTTACGGTCTAGGCTACGACTTTAATTTCTTCATTTAATCTGAACGCGATTACTATTGTTCATAGGTATATCATAACCGACCGTATTAATTAACATTGTGATTAACGTGTTTCAGAACGGATTCGTGGAGTGTGTCAAAGACCAGTGCCCAGACGAACAGGGCTGTTACATGTTGCAGGACGTTTTCGTGGACACGAAGGAATGCTGCAGACGGTGCAAGGGTACGTCGAGTTTGGTTTAAACAAATCACCGTAATGTATAAGGACCGACTTGTAATATGGTTTAATTGTATACGGTTCGTTTTAATAATCGCAAGGAACGGCGCGCACTGACACTTTGTTAAATAACTGACCAGTTTAAAAAAAATTAACTAGAAACTGAGAAAAACGTTTCACAAAAGTTCGTCGATTATGTAGTGACTAAGTAGACTATGCATTATTCGCAAGTCGTATATATAAAGTCGTACAGACAGTATCAACAAGTTACATTAACTATCCATTCAGATATTTGATCAAAAGACAATATAAATAAAAAGCAGACAATTCACCTATCTAAATAATATTTGTTGAACAACGTAAGTCCATTACTGATGAGACAGTCATAGTGAATGCTCGAGATTATTCAACTAACATTGATTCAATAATATTTTATGCGGTAACCGGTCAAAACATCTCTAAAAAAATTTAATATTATCTCTTATCATAAATAATATTTTTACGTCCCTAACCATAATTTATTGCTATATTATATTATAATCTATTATTATCACAAACTGCAATCGTAATAATAATAATGTGTTGTCATCACTATTGTCACAGGGTGCGTTTACAAGGGTGTGCCGAGGGACAGCGGCACCGAGTGGACGGATCCCAATGACCCTTGCATGGTCATGTCGTGCAAGGCTGGGGTGGTCACCGAGACGAGGATGCAGTGCATTACACCCTGTCAACAACCACTGCCACCTAAACCAGGGACATGCTGTCCGACTTGTTCGGGTGAGTAACTGAAGCCTTCATACAATATTATTTATTATTATTATTATTATTCACAAAAATTGTATTATTTCCTACGTATGTACTCGCGAGTTGACGTGCTCATTCGTATTGGTCGGTATGCTCACGACTTATATCTAGAACGTTTTACGGCGAACGCGGGTATTTTATCTTTTTTTTTTTTGGGGGGGGGGGGGGGTGAAGAGAATCGAGTTCGACGGTAAACATGGTATTGTGAGTCGCGAGTGTGACGATACAATAATATATTATAATCGTACGGGACAGTTTACATGTGGTGGAATTTATTTGAAACGGATCGCCCGCAGGTTCCCCTCCGAGTTCCGTCTCTTTGGATTATGCATTGTTTAATACGTATGTTATTAATATATTATATTATATTATACACGGTACGATATTATTATATGCTCCGGAATCTTTCGTGGCGCATTAGAAAAACAAACCATTCTTTTGGAAGCTTTGCAGTCGTGATAAATCACGACCGGCACACAAGCGTCCGTCAAGTGACTCGTGGGAAATGAACCCCCATGTATGCTTCTCTTGTGGTGGGCATTAACTCCGTAACACGCAGCTCTGAACGAAAATAAACAATAACACTCAGACTATACTCGCGTACACACACACACACACACACACACACATACAAATAAATAATAATAATAATAAAAAACAATGGATGGATGCTAGGTATATAATGTATTATTATAATAACGTTCGTGAACGAAAATCGTTTCGGACGAGGAGGGAAAAGGAGTAGTAGCGTCTATGGTTTAGACGCCAAACAGTAAATAGAGATGGATGGCAGGACCACCGGCAGCGAACATTGTGCACAACATAAACATGTTAAACGGTCTGCTTTAGTGCTTAGCTACCGGTTATATGGTTGGCGTATCGATATCAACGCACGCATTATAATAGTAATAATAATAATATATCTGTACCAGCCTCTATATTATTAAATTATATTGTACGACGCCACGAAGGACATTTTAAATTATCAAATAATACGCGTTGGGTTCGATTTTCCAAAACATAATAATTATACCTGCACAAATCGTGGTAATATTTTATGTTATATTATAACAGTTATAATATAGTTTGTCGATCGGACAATACTGTAGAGCAACGACTATGGATGGCCAACGACCGTGTATTGTACATATAAATATGTTACCGACATCGTTTCCGAGCATTCATTATTGTAGTTGCCTGTTGGTCGAAAAGTGTTTAGTGAATTATATTATTTTAGTCTCTCGGGAACATACACCGCAATATATACATATTATTTATATAATTAGATGTTTTTACACGTCAGTCTCGGAACTTCAAAGCGAAACCGCCGCCTGCTGATATTAATATCTAAATTAGCGTTTCGATTACCATTATTAATTATTATATAATATCATCACGGTATGAATATGTATATATACCTATGTATGATAGTCGGAATCGGTATCATTAAAATATTTAAATACGCCAAATAATATATGGGTACGCTACACATATCAGAAAACATATTTAGGTGTATAATCATTTATGGAATTAAAAAAAATATTCACAACATAATAGTAAATTTCTGAAAACGAACGCAATAACTCGCGCATAATATAAGATGCTGTTTAAAAAATAATCAACAGAAAATAGCCAAAGGAAACACAACTTTTTTTTTTTTTTCAATATCGCTTTGTAGATTGATTAATAAATATGTTTTTGTTATAACAAACAACACATTCGACTATAGAACCTTTAGGCTACGAGATTTCAACCGATTTAATGAAGCTATATTATATCCGAGTTACTTTATTGCGGTAATTGGTCGGAAAACAACTATCTTGAGCACGTTATAGACCCTCGAGTCACAGCCCACGGGGGGCAGCGGTGGAAGAAATGACTTTTTAATATATTATGATATTTTCTATATAATATGTTTATATAATATATTATAACCAGCGGTACCTGCGTTTTCACTTAGGTCTGAATGGCAGACAGACGATATAATCGTGCGCGCGCGCGTTGCTTTTTCGACCGTGCGTTCATTATTTTGTCATATTCGTCGACGGTGGTACGGTGCACGTCGGTACGATGTAGATAATATATATATATACTAATAGTAGTATATTATATTGTTTTATACACACACACACACGACTGTATATATATTATATTTAGTAATAATAACATCTCGGGTCGTAATTTATTATGGTGCGCGATGACGATCGTCAGAATATTATACCAAATAATATTCTTTGTTTTTTCATCTCCTTCGGGTTTATATTCGGCTTTATTATGTTATTACGAAGGTATATTAGATATAAGTATACTACAAGTGTATTATACTATACTACCCATGTGGACCTATACCTATATTATAATAATATATAATGTATTATATTATGATGTGCGACTGTACGCGGCGAGGGCGGTGCCTGCGTCGTGCCTATTATTTATTATACTCGTTCGGGTCTAAAACAAATAAAAGATTACGCGAGCGGGCAGGGGGCAAGCTGCACGCGCGCCGGATAAAACGATTGGACGGCGGCGGAGACGTACCAGTCATGGGCTGGGGGGTGTGTGTGTGGGGGGGGAGGGCAACCGCGCGTCCGAGCCGGAGATGGGCTAATGGCTGAAGACTGGATGCCACACGCATTGAAAAAAAAATAACGAAAAAATAAAAAAATTCAAAACAATTCTCTGGGTGGCATGGACGTATGGTATCCCGTCCGAAAAACAATGTAATACAATTTTAAAGCAGATTCCATAATATTACTCGGCGAGACTCGCGATCCAATGGTCTACGCGCGGGACTCACGATGATAATATAATATGTAATATACCGACAACATCGAGGGGACCACGTGGTGAAGGCGCCGACAGAGAAGGCTTGGAGATGACGAAGACGAAGACGACATTGTATAGGTTATGTCAGTATGGCCGCTGGTGAGAGGGTCTAAAAAATGTAGACAAAAATCGCACAATTCTGCTGCAGACGACTTATTTGACTCTTAAAATATTTTTAAACATTTTGAAGAGGAAGCATCGAATAATATAACTAAAGTGTTAAAAAAAAATATTTATAAGTCCACCGCATCTACAGGTCATTTCAACTGACCTGATTTATCGGACACAAACACCAATGGCCAGGAGTCTGCAGCACTGGCAATCGATGAAAATGTTTTATTTGCAGTAGATCAAAACACATTTTTTTCAAATTTATATAACTTCTAAGTTCAGTCTTGTTATTTCGATCCAGAAAAAGTAATGAAAAAAACTTCTTGATGTCTATGACGTACGTCTTAGGGTGGAATATCAGTCGTGGAGGGCCGCGTCATCAAATTATAACAACATTGTAAAATTCAAAATATAATTGTCATTTAGTCTCCTTTATGTTTTTGCCGTCGTCAAATTATACCCACTGCAGCAGTCATTAGTGTTGTACGTTTTCAAACACATAATAATATACCATTTTATGTTTTTACCGTCTACCGATTCAAATTGGTCTGAACCAACGAGGGGTTAGAGTGAAGACATATTGACGTGTAGGTACTTTACATCGGTAGGAGGATAGGTTAGATATCTATTATAGTGCGTGAGTCGACAGGACCAAGGCGGTGCGTGTGTCTCTTATTTACGTTACCTATATAATATTATTGTGTAGTAGTTATATTCGTCGTGCCCGTCCCCGTTTGGAACAGGTACTGTATAATAACATTATTATACTTTCGGAAATGTATGCACCTTTAATGACTTTTATCGATAATAATACTTTGAAATAACGAACGCTTTCGTCTGTCAAGAGGACCAATTTTTCTCAGCCTTAATTAACGCAATCCTGTAAAACAATATTCCCAAATTTCAAATACTATATTAGGTATCTGATCGTGATTGAAACCATCCACTTAATGACAACCTCATGATTATATTACATCTCACTTTCTAGTAGGTATAGGTTCCTTTATTTTTAAGCCAAATTGGAAAAAAATTATTGAAAAGTCAATATGCTATATGACTTAAAAAATACCGAATAATTCACTCCGTCAACGTAGGTAACTGAAATAATATAAAATTACAATGAAATATAATATAATATTTTATTGTATTGTAATATACTTTTGAAAAACATATGACTCAATATTGGTTTTCTATTGGTACAAGTTTTAGTTTATAGGATTTCGCACGTACATTCAAAAAAGCTCTTGATGTTTTTAATACAATTTTATTAAAATTGCCTATACTAAGCCCCTTAAGAAGTGCAGTCGTGTATAGTACCATAGTAGTGTGCCTGCTACCCACTAAACAAACACTGCAATGAAAACGCGAAACGGCGTCTGTTTCTTTGGGAAAAAATTCCGTTATCGATAACCCGAGCGCCGAAGAGGGGGTTGCACTCGGTGGCAGACAGTTAATAATAATAATAATATTATAATCTATGCGATTGCGGTAACCGGTTTTGGTTATTCCACAGGTTGCCGGGTTATCGGGCAAGAGGTGGCCGCCTGGAAGAACATCAGCCTGTACGACGACCCATGTCTAACCTGTCATTGCGAGAGATCCGCGGCCGGACCAGTCCTCACCTGTTCAAAAAAGGCGTGCCCTGTGCTCCAGTGTCCGTCCAGCAGCATGCAGATATTGCCGGGCGAATGCTGCCCCAGATGCGTGGGTAAGTGAAATTTATCGGCAGCCAAGTCCGATGCGAAACAATATAAAATAGAATGTTATAATTATTATTAATTATGACAATATTATTGCGACGGCATTACAATATGGTGATGTTGAAAGAAACGCTTTATAATAATATGTAATCACGAATTACTCTATTAAGGTGTATTATTTATTGGCGTTTAATGCGTTTACATTTTACGTTTATGCTGATATAATATTGTTTTTCGAATTTTATTCATAATGATATCCCAACAAATGACAATTTATTATTAAACTAATTTGGTAAAAATCGGTTATATACTTTAATGGTTCCACGGGCTAATTAGTTATGGTCAATATTAATAAAATACTAACGAAAACAAAAACAATTAAAATATTGCACATTATATTTTATTCTACCACGTTTTGTAGGTACCTACTATTAATGACTATTAAATATTTGTGATCAAATAACTACAACATAAATAATATAGGATAATACACATATCAGAACAACAAAAACATAAACACTAACAACCACCTTTTTTTTATTTATTTTGGGACATCGTATATGTATTACTAAATTTTACTTGGTCAGTAAAGACGTTAACTAGTGCACTAGTGCATTACAAAATTTATAAACATACTTAAAAATAAAAAATATGACACGTCCGTTGAAATACAAAACATTAGGAAGATTTTTGTCGAGACCTGAGGGACCTTTGCTTCGAATTTCTACAACAATAGCGGGTTTGTTTTAAAATATGATTACTATAATACTGTGTTATACAATAACGATATTGCACATTGTGTTTTCAAAAGTATTTGCAGAACAAAAAAAAAAAATATACTGCAGCTTTATCCGACCTTTGTCAGAGTTGTGTGCAAAAGCCGTATCAAACATTCAAGCCATATCATGTCGTCATCATTGTATATTATATTATTATTATTATTATGTAATATCGTTATTATTATTTTTCATTATAAAATACAGCTGTAATAATATAATAACCGGGCTACGACGACGACGACGACGACGTACCGGACGGAAACGTCTGACAAACTACGGATATGTTTATTCGCGGTAGTATAAAATAATAATAATAATAATACACAGTGGAAAAACGCCAACCGATCGTGTTTCAGTTTTGAATTTTATTCTCGACTCTTTCGGATATGGGCAATGGACGAATAGACGGCATACACAGACGGTTTTTTTGTTCAAGAAATAAACGATCTGGCCGAAACGATTCGACAAAATAATAATACGTATTATTTTATGACACGCGTATATATTATCTTACGGTCGTTACACACAATTAAATCGTTTATAATAATATCAAATGACCCACACAATAAAAAAAAATACTCCGCCAAAATATTGGTAGCCGCCGGACAATGTTCATACAAGTCTCTATGTAGTATTATATTGTACAATATTATAACTCTAAATCGTTTTGAACTTTTAATAGTTTCCCGAACGAAAAATGTGAACCAAGCGTGCAGAATAATATTATACTGAAGACTGATGAGTTTGAATTTTTCGTCTAATTTCGAATTTGGAGACTTAAAGGATACAATATCGCAGGCAATATTATCTATTTATTGTTATAAAATAAAAATTGTCATAAGAATTCTATAGAGCCATAGTTCTAAGGAACTATAGTTTCCGTTGTAAATTATATTATACATTATATAATATCATTGTCCATTGATTAAAAATCGACAAACTTTTATTGGACACTCGCAGTATTGTAATGCGAAACATAAGTCAATATAAATGTACACCGTTCACATGCAATTTGTAACTATATACAATTTCATTAACAAAACGATTTCACATTAATAAAATATATATACCTACGAATGTTTCACTATATGTTTGTCACGTACACTGCCCTGCATAATGTACCATGGTTTGAAATAAAAATAAACTAATAAATCTTTATTGATTTAAAAATGTAGTCGACACAAACACGTTATCGTCTAATCGGTACAACTTGCATTGGTTAAATATGGTGAATATTTAACAGAATCGATAATTATAATAAAATATATAATATTGTTTTACAATCGGGGTGATGCGTGTGTCACCCAGGTGTTAATTAAAAATAAAATCAATTAATTGTATATGTGTATTTTAGTTGAGTCAGCATAGTAATACATAGTTAAATAATACATATATTTACGTACCAACCTAACTAATTTTCCAAATATTACAATAACGATGACTTAACCTAACAAACTAAATTCGTTTTTTTTTTTATTGACTCTATTCCACAGTTTAAACTACGTGTGTATAGAATAACGTTAATGTTGGCTTGTTACAGGCAAGAGCAGAAAACTGATGGACCCACCTAGAGGAGGCTGCCTGTTGGGTGATAAGATCACTCCGTCGGGCCAGGGGACGCATCCGGACCGGTGCACCGAGTGCACATGCACCAACTCGACGGCGGTGTGCACTCGGGAGACTTGTCCTCCGCTGGACTGTCCCGTCGAGAAACAGACGTTCGCGTCGCACAACCAGTGCTGTCCGCAGTGCCCGAGGACCCTGGACAAGAGCGAAACTTGCATGGATAATGGAAACATTTACTTGGTGAGCGTTACAATAGTTATGGTGTAGTTAATTAAACGAAAAATTCACGACTCAGAGGCGGTAATATATTATTATATATATTGTATAACCCTGATGCGATATCCTCTATCTGTAGTTCGATCCGTGTTAGTAATATTTGTTTTGAAAACCGTTTTTGTATTTTAGAACGGGGACGGCTGGAAAGTCGACGAGTGCAAGTCATGTCTGTGCGTCCGCGGCCAAGTACAGTGTGCCCAAGAGATGTGTCCACGTATCTCAACGTCGTGCCCGGTCAATACGAAGCTGCGAACAGTCCCGGGCTCTTGTTGCCCCCGATGTGTACCCAGTAAGTCCGTCTCGTGACTATATATTATTATATTTTACGGTTATTGTTTCTTACAAAAAATCATTCTGCTGATAACAGAACAGAATATACAGATTATAATATTATAACGTATCTAAATATCGTTTTCGTTTCAGTGGACGGAGTGTGCACGGTGTTCGGAGACCCACATTACAGGACATACGACGGAAAATTCTTCAGCTTCCAAGGACCTTGCAAATACCTTTTGAGTGCGGATTGCGTGGGTCGGACATTCAGCATTCGAGTGACTAACGACGCTCGGAACACGAAAAATTCAGCTTGGACAAAAACAATATCTTTGAGGGTAATTATTGTAATTTATTATTGTGTGTTCACGCTATAACGATGGTATTTTGTGAAAACTTCGTATCGAAAGTGACGGTATGGTTGAGCTAGAAAATAATTGATATGTTATTATGTAATTATTTAACACGTATTTTGTCCTCACAGACCGGAGGTTTGAAAGTAAACCTCGGTGAAAATAAACGGATCAAGATCAACGGACAGAGAGTGTCCGTGCCTTACAAACGGAGTAACGAGCTCACCATATCCAATATGAACGACACCGTATTAGTTGAGACCCGGATTGGCGTTTCTATCATTTGGGATGGTCGAGGATTTCTGGAAGTGTCCGTACCGTCGAGGTACAAAGGTAAGGAAATTCGTCAAACCGTTCACGAGGATATAATAAATAAACTACAACGCTACGTCGGTTCCCAAATATTATACTAATTGAACGTCTCTCTCACAGAGTAATCACGCCTCCCTCGGCCCACAGTTTAGGAACCACCTGTAATGACGATTTTGCGAAAATTGTTTTACTCACAAACTTTGCATTTACAATATTTACAGGCAGTCTGTGCGGGTTGTGCGGTAATTTCAATTCTGTGCCCAGAGACGACATGACCACTAAGGACGGACAAGTAGTGTTGGAGCCCCAAGTTTTTGGATCGTCTTGGCGTGTGGGTGGCAAGAACGCGTGCAGCCGGCCGTTGAAACCCGCGTTCGTGCAAACTTCGACTCAGTGTTCAAAGAAGGGACCCCGGATTCGAGAAAGGATGTGCAAACCGCTTCGACAACGGATGTTTGCGGCGTGCCACAAAAAGCTCAATCCAGTCAACTTTTTCAGGTTAGCTCATTATAATTATACGTTCGATTTACACGCTCAGCATCCCTTTCGTTTTTGTTAGACGTTTTCCCTTTCGCAGCTCTCTGCCCAGTTACGCATTCTCTGGCATATATTAATATTATCTATTATAATATGGTGTATACCTATGTACCTATGCTTGTATATGTATACTGAACCGTGAATTCGCATTTGCTCACAGGTCCTGTCTGATGGATATGTGCGAGTGTCCGACCGGCCGGAAGTGCTATTGTGAGGCGATGACAGCTTACGCTCACAACTGTCGCCGCCTTGGGGTTTCGCTACCTGATTGGAGGACCATGACGGGATGCCACACATACTGACCCGCGTCCTCCAATCCATCCCGTGCAGTAGACTCCGCTTGTTTGTTGTTGCTAGTCATTGTATTTTTACATTTTCAACTTTGCGGTGGTCGCCGCGCGTTTACCTGACCGACGGGTCGAAATGGTTAGTATAATGTAATATACAATTACCTATGTACCATAATAGGTATATACCTAATTAATGCTACGATATAATTAATAAAGATTGTTATTATTATTGTGTACGATGGTGATTGAAATTCGGGAGTAGGCCTATGGTAGAATAAAACAATTCACTCGAGTTAAAACACTTAAATCACGACCTGACTGGTATCAAAAGTGAAAAAGTCACGTGTTTAAAAGTTAGCAATAAATTAATTTAAAACGTTCATTTTGTACCTAAGCGGTATAGTGATATATCAAAATAATATATTTTCACAACCTTTTTTGAAAAATTATTGTTTTTAAAATCAAAATTTCGGCACTAAAATTCGTATACTATATAACAGGGAAAAAAATTAAATTGGTACATTATACTTTTTATTTAGCACTATAAATATTTAAAAATAATCTTGAAAATAATATTACAATTATTGTGAGGTTGTTCATAAATATTTTACTATAATCGAATATTTTATATACCTAGTAATATTATTAAATTGTTCTTTTAATAAAAGTGCACATAGTTTATGATAACTGTAAGCGTCTGCGTCAAACCCGATAAAACTATAAAATAGCACGGTTGTAACAATTTATTAAAGTAAAGACAATAGTTTTGAGTTAATAAAATAACAATTTCAACCGTTTAAGACCCACATAAAAACCACCAACTAATTGAGTTTAAAAATTTGATAAGAAAATGTTGACCTAAGGAATAATAATATTCTCAATCGTTGCTGTGACACTATGCCCCTACGTCATTCTAGACTATAAAACGCTTATAAATTGTGTTTTTAATAAGAAGTGTGGAGAAAAAAAATGCTTGTCGAGCGAACCGATCGCGTCGTGCATATTATATTAGATTAGAATCAAAACGAATTAGTCGGTGTTTACAACACGAAAAAATCCTTATTTTATGGCAGGTAGTCGCTGCGCGTTAAATTATGTGCACAGTTATAACTTATAACCCGTCGTACCGACAATGATAAACCATCATACCGATGTCGTGGACAATAAACAATTTGGCGTCAAAGTCTTAACAACAACAGTATTAAAACAAAATATGATAATAATAATAATATTATCTACAATTTATACCTGGCATCACTATACCGTAATAACAGCTGCAGTATTACGTCACTATTATTATATTTATACCCCCTATATACACGTGTAGCCACCTGTAACGTACTGTTTCGATAGCATAAACCGCTTAATAATAACGATATAATTAACAGAGAGTGATACCGAATGAGATGTTAAATATAATAATATGTAAATACGTACATTATGCATAATTTTCGAATCGAAAGAAACACTACCTCAATAAATCATCCGATAATCGTGCGTATCCAAGGGCTGGGAACTGTACACATTTTAGTGTCCCTTGATATGCGGCGGACGCATAGGAACGAAATAATATTTTATTTTTTTTCAAGACGGCATTATAGGCACATAAATCTCCTCGCATTTTTAGATACACAGATCTGATAAATGATAGTATTATTAGTTATTACGTGATCAAACATCAAAGAATTTCACTGAATAAACATGGTTACCCGTGTATAAGGCGTATAATGACGTTAGGTATCTTAAATCATCATCTCAGGTAGGTACTTAAAATTATTATATAATAATTTCAATGTTTGCGTCTGAATCTAAATAAAACGTACGCGTGTACCAATTATAATAATAATAACGTGATGCCATTATTTGATAACGTTTTGAAATTAATTTACAAAAGTACTATCAATGTAATGCTTTTGTTTTAAATAGAATAATAATTATTGTAATTATCGCACTATCAGCGAGTTACAAACTAATTTTATTGTTTTCACCGCTTATCTATCCACATTGATCACCGAAGTGACTGATATAATAATTATCGAACGAATGAAAACAATTCTACAGAAAAATTATCATAATACGCCTTCAATGCATGATGGTTATCCTCGGTTAATCATATTATTTTAATTAAGCGAAATCATTGAATTTTTTTTACCCGCTTACTCATTATTACCTGTTGTACCTGTACAGTATAATATATTGCCGATGTACCATAAAGTTCGACAAATCGTAAAATTTTTACAAAATTTGATAAAATGAGGTACCTATATATTAGATTATAATAGTCGCGTCCTGATTATCGTCCGAATCGCATTGATTCAACCCGAACAGGGCCTCTGCCATTTTAATTATTAGCATTTCGTCTCACGGTATACATAAATTTGCATGTTTTCGGCAAAGGTGTACGAGTTAAGTTCAAATTATCATCAATAAATGAAAATTGGCCAACGCGCGTTCGTTGGTTCATTTGTTTTCATTCAGACCAAGAAATATACGAATTCATTAAATAACCTACTTGCGGGGAAAATAGACTGCGAAAATATAAAACTGTAAAAAAAAAATCATAATAATATTATTATTCGTGTTGTGATTTATATTAATCTATACTGTATTTTATTATATAGAAATTTAAAATATCTTATTGATTTGTTTCAGATCGTGACAGACCGTTTCCACGTTACCGTTCGTATATATAAAATTAAAAAAATAGTAATAATATAATTTAGTAACAATTAACTTAACTTTTAAGTGGCTACAACAAACTCTGACCCGGCGGCGACTCTACCGGGTGTCCGTCGCATAACAATATCTTAATTTACACTTTTACTAGGTACCATAATGTCAATGGTTTTATTTATTATTTACATTTAATCAGTTCGATTGTACGATCGCGACTAACCTAACCGAGGTCGATGTTTTAAAACCTAAACGCCGGCGTTTACACTGTAATATAATACCTACATACCGCGATTTATTATATTAAGTATACCACAAAACAGATTACAGAGTAATGTTATTGTTTTGCGTTCATATATTTCGATATTGGCCTATGATAATATTTTATTTGTAGTGTGTTTTCGTGTATAAACACAAATTTTGACGAATTTTTCTCCTCATTCGTGATAATATAAATTATTATTATATTAAAATGATATTATAGTAGCTATGTGCAAGCGGCTTTGCTACTTAATATTATAATATTTAGCATGCCTTAGTGACAGAGAGAACAACGTTCTTTTATACATTCGGGTTGTCGTATACTATTTAATATTATGTTATTAATTATTATAGTTAGTAATATTGTTAAAAAATGTTTTCGTAGAACGCTTAAGATATCAAATTGTTTAATAATTGTATTTTATTTTTCGAACACTAAATCGATCTAGGATATTATTGTAATTATAGATAGTTATTAAAATCAATATATTATAATATATTATTATATAGGTAAGAAGGTTCATATTATATTACTATGCTATAGAATTATTGTAATGAAAAAGTATTTTAACTACGTTAAGCGAAATATTGTAAAATAATATTTGTCAAATTTATGTTCCTACTTTTATGTTTTTTTTTCACTTATTTATTTTTTCTAGAAAAAAACTTTATACTTTCTTTTGTGTAATAAAAAAAATTTAAAAAAATGTATATACATAGGTATTATTATATTATACTTTCATATTATACTCCTATACTCCTAAATATATATATATAAATAATATTATATATATGTCATAGATGCGTGTGTAAATATCACTAGTGCTGTAAATTGTAATGAAACAATTACCCGACTCCACCTGGGCGGTAAAATTGTTTTGATAGAAAATCAAGTTTAAAAAATCCAACAGATAGCGCCATGGGTGTATTTCTATTTTTCAGCTTACCAAGGGGGGAGGTGTTTTATCGGTCGTATGATGTGGAGAGAGCTTTGATCATTATTGAACGGTCATCTACAATGTACAAGAAACAGCATCAAGGTTAGCATTAAAGGTCAACCGCATTGTACCACCGAGTCGGTGGTTTCGGAGAGTACTCCAGACGACGGGAAAAAGGCACATTTTGGCTTTATACACAGCTGAGGGTACGACTAGTGTGAAAAAAGATAGTACACAGGTGTTTTTTTTTTGTTTTTATAATTGCGTGTCGTGCGCACGCAAAACACAAACGCACAAGGCACGTGTCTATATATTTTTTTTTATATTTTAAACAAATCTTTAACAAAAATAACAGTATCGTAGTGATGACGCTATAGGAAAATCCAAAAAAATCTATATCTTAAAACGTGTTCGGCTCGGCCAAAAAGTGCTCGGGACCAGAACGGTATAATAATACTATATATATATCTTAAAATAATATAATATATTATTATAATAATTATGATGACTGCGCAGTCGACCGGCGCGGCGAGGCGGCGGGAGCGCGACCAAATAAATCGCTCTTAAATCGGAGACGGATCCAAAAACCACCGATTTCTCTCGGGAAGGGATCGTAGGGTGCCCGCCGTCCGGCCGCGTGCGGCGCCGTATAATATTGATAACAATAATAATGATATGATAACGATAGTCTTATAATATATTACACGTAGTACGGCGGCGGTGACAATCATCAATTATTATATTGTAGGTATGCGCGGGCGTATTATCGTCGCGTACAATGATATGATAACAATATTATATATGATATGCAGACAGACGGACAGACGTCCGGAGATAAACTCGTCATATTTTCAAAATCTGTGACACATTATAATAATTGTTATGTATGTATGCATTATGGTATATTATTATATAGGTACGTAGAAGAGAGAGAGAGAGAGATAGAGAGAGAAAGAGAAAGAGAGATAAAAAAAAAAAAACAAACAACAACAACAACACTTAATAATAATATTATCATACAATATATAACTATAGAAAATGATTTGTACGAAAAGAAATTGTGCTACGGCTGAAACAATTTGTTTTACTCACGATACGAAAATAATATTACAAATACAATTTCGATATGTATACAGTTTAAATATCGTGCTACTATAATAGGTATTTACTGGAGACGAGCCTACTTGCGATACAATAAACCTGACCACAGTCAGTCGCAAGATTTAAGTATCATCGGACGAGAAGCGCCGGCCAAACAGTTTGCTTTTGGGTTTATAATAACATTATCATTTCCACGAAGACTGGACAACCGACCACAGTATTTTCCGGGGAGAGTACTTCATCAGTTCAAATTTAGTATATGATTGATTTTTTGTTTGTTATATTTTTCGCCTACCAAAAATATTTTATTTGCCTTGTTGAAAATTCAAAACGAAACAATTGACCTGTTTGATAGTTTTTAATTTCGTAAAAAATATACGAACAATATTTAAGGAATAATATACATTTTAGCATTTGTTTTCTGGTACAAAATAATTTGACTATAGAGATCAGAAGTCTCAAAACTTCTTAGTAGAGGGCCCCTTATACAAATTAAAAACGCTTTGCGGTCGGTCCAAAACATAATATTTAATCATTAAACGCATTGACAATTTTCAGGTGTATAGAAAATATATAAATGCAATGGACATAATAAATAAGTGAAGATTTGTAACCGTTGATACACCGTGCATTGTTTAGATAAGTCTAAAGAGTAATTTAAATTTAGTGAAGCGAATTTTCTCCAAAATTAAAAGAGTAGTAGTTTTGTTTGTTTTAGAATGTATAACCGTAGCATGTATATAATACTTCAGTATAAAAATAATAAAAATAAACAAAACAATGTACCTATGAATAGTTTATTTTTGGATTATTCGCTTTAGTTAGCTGTAGGTATAGTAATTTGAAGATAGATTGATGTTTGTAATTACAGGTATTTTTGAATATCATTAAATTTTTAATTTATTCTATAATATCTGTCTGGAATCGATTCAAAAGTTAAATTATGATAAAATCCCTGCAGCTTGGTTATGGGGTTCGGGACGTATATAATATTATATATTACTGTTTTTAGTTTTTACATACGATTTGGCGTTACCGAAATCACTTGGAAAATTGTTCAAAGCATATTATCATATACGAATGAGAAATGGAAATGGACAAAATATGATGAGTCGTCGATACTGCATTAAAGTCACAACGCAGTTTATCAGAGCACTAATAGTTTGGTGTTTATTTCAATAAACGTCACCGATGTTATTTTTTATATTATATGATATTTCATTGATAATATTGTAATATATGAGCGAGTTATTTGTCGGGATGATAACAGTAGTATTATAGTCAGCTGTCCAGTAGTCCTTCAACGATAATTATTATATTGATATGGATATAATATGTTATATTACGCTCCCCGAACCGACCTGTGGTACCAAAATAATTGTACATTGTTCTAAGAAATTTATCTATAAAATAATCGACTTAACAATAAACTATTTTACGATAACGGTAAAAACAAAAAATACATCAAATACAAGTACAATAAAGTTACATAATAGTAAACGCTACCTAATCAAAATGATATGTATTTGTTTAGTAAACATAGTTTTTCAGTCCAAATCGTTTTCACGGTATTGGTACATTATACAATATGATATGTTTATGGTACATTATATGATATGGTACAATATATGTTAATATTAATATTTTATGATATGTATACGTGGTACAATATGCACTGATAACGAGACATATAGATAAGGTCACGTGTCGCTAGGATTTCTGTGTGACAGCGATCAAGCTGAAGACTTGGTAGTAAAACGATGAAAAAAATCATTTACAATTTTTTTTTTCTAATACAATTACAGTAGTTCATAACATATAACGATGAACACGATTGACTTGTTGATATAGAGGGGAAACGACGACGAAAAAGCGACACACACAAATCCTTTCGACTTCTGTCCTCCCCCCCCCACCCGTGTTCCTTACGACGATAATATACAAATACAATTTATAATTTTCTCTTAATGATAGTGTTATTAATAATAATCATGCTACGTTTCAAACATTGATATGTTTTAAGTTACTTAAAATATAATATTATTATAAACGACTTACAAAATACACGAAAAAAGTCTATAGTTGATATGCTCGTTGTTTAAAAAAAAAAAAGAACAATAATAATCGTAACGAACAAAATACATATATAAATATATACTATAACATAACATAGTATTTTTCCTATATATATATAACAATATTACGTAAGTAAATAATTAATCAACCATCCGGAAAGAAAGTCGTTATTGCTCATTGAAAATTTGAAATATGTAAAAGTAGTAGGTAAGTAATATAATAATGCACTATGATAATATTATTATGCCTCTTTTCCCCTCAGCTGCCATCGTGTAGACTTGACTAAGATCACTATTGGTAAAGGCCAGAGGAGAATGTGTGGAGCATGCATATATATATATATATATATATCTTTTTCTTTCATACATTTGTACTATTATTAAAACGCATTAAGGTACATAAAGTAATTATTTTTTTTATTGTTATTATTTTCTTTTCACCCCGCGACTGCAATCAACTCGGCAAAGGCGTTTTTCAAGATAAACTCCAAGGATCATGATATTAATATCGTAACTGGGGATGGCAGTTGGTTTGAACAACGAAACGATTTCGGCAGTCTATAAACGACACTATATAATATAATATTATTCAACAGTGACAGTATAAATATTGCACGTGTGAAACGTATTAATCCTTTCGCAGATCGTTTCCATCAGTTGTGCTTTCATGAAAATAATTATAACATTTTAATGTCGGCGGCCGTATAGCGGACAAAGCAACGTAATGTAATATAAAATGTACGTTGTTTCGCCTACCACTGAAATCATTGCGTTCGTGGGAATAGTGGAGTAGTACAATAGGCGGGAATAGTCGATGTCAATCGTAAATCGGTCGTGAAAAATAAAATAATAATAATAATGATAGTGTTAAAACATTTCATTAGGAGTATGGCTGCATCCGAATTGGGTCCCGAATTCAAAAATGCTATACTAGTTGGGTCCGGGATTTTTGCAGGTACTACACTAGTTGGGTCCGGGATTTTTTTAGGTACTACACTAGTTGGGTCCAGGATATTTTTGGGTACTACACTAGTTGGGTCTGAGATTATTTTAAGTAAATATACAATCCAAACGAAAAATGATATTGAACGATGGAGATGCATATTCAGAGATCATGTAAGTCATTTTTTTTAAATATTCCAACGATCAATTTATCAAAATTTATAAAAAACAAAATTAATCAAAAAAATGCAGGAATAATAAATCGATTTGATTTTGCAAAATTAATGTCTTAAAAAATTTTAAGAACACGTGTGATTTCTTTAAACAATATTTTATTTATATTATACAATACCTATGTATTTTTTATATTTGATTTTTAACAATTTTAATATTTTTCTTTGTTTAGTACCTGCATGTTATTGCCATTTATTATTCAAATAAAATTCTAATAATTTATATTTTTAATGGCAAATAAACTAAAAAAATAAATTGTAAAAAACATTTTTAACCATAACTTTGGTCTAAATAAACAGTCATAAGTCTGTTAAAAAGGGTAGGAAAATAAACTTATGTAGTACTCAAAAAAAAAAAAAAATTAAGACCTCAACTATTGTTGTACGTGTGAAAATTCCGGACCCAACTAGTGTAGTACCCAAAAATATCCTGGACCCAACTAGTGTAGTACCTAAAAAAATCCAGGACCCAACTAGTGTAGTACCTGCGATTTATCCCTTGTACTCGGGACCCAACTCGGATGCGCCGAGGAGTATAACATAAATTATTATCAACGAACAATTATTTTTAAAAAGACAGATAAAAAAAGATAACAAACTAATCTTACGCGTAGGTGTGTACGAGAGAATACTAATGTTTTGATTTAGTATACACAATATAATATTTGATATGTCGGTCGATTTTGTGCAATGATGCAGAGAGAGAGAGAGAGAGAGACAGAGAGAACACTAGTAGTGTATGAAAATAAAAATAAAACTCTAATTTGTTACGTCCAATCTTGACTCCAGATCACATCTATGAGTTGTGTGGGTAGTAAAGAAACGACGGCTCACAGCAGATTCAGACGAAAGCCGACGAGGAAATCTGTTGGACGGCAATTTTCAAAACTGGCGATCGAGCACCACATATCATACAAAATTATTGTTTGAATTTAGATTCAAATTTTAAATTTCAAGTTATTGGACGACATGGATTCGCCCGATGGGGAAGAAAAATTCAATGTATAACATACATGGCCGTAAAAAGTAAAAACCACATACGTTCAAAATGAAAAAAAATATCGCTTCAATAGTATTATGTTTGTATGGTAAACGGAAAAAGGTTTAAAAAAAACCAACTCGATTAATTAATTAATTTAAAATTCTGTGTGGACGTGTCCTATATTATAAGGTACCTACTGAAGATTATGCCACGTGGTTTAGTAGGGGTGATTCCGAAACCAATTGGTTAGTATCGTAAAATAATTCGTCTCTCTCTTTAAACATTTCGACAATAATAATATTATCATCGTGATATCGAAGTGTTCTTTGTCGAAACGTTATTATAAGACTCGTCTCGTAAAATATAACATTATGTGGAGCAGTTTTGAAGGAAAACGATTTAAACTCACACGTTCTTCGGTCACCATTTCTCACCCTCAATATATAATATGATATATATATGCATGTAGTATGAGCATGGCAGTGTTCAAACGTTTCGTTTCGTGTGATAAGAAGAACAAATCGAGCGGTACACTTTAAGTCTTGTACAGAAAGCGAAGCGCTCGGCCCGCGATATAGTCGCGGTCAGTACATAGGTAGGTAATTATTATATTGTGACGTTATAGTAATATTTATAATGTTATATATATATATATATAATATTATATATAGTATCCCTGTATACAAAACTCCAAAAGAACGTAAAACATTTTTAAAAAAACGATGTCACTGTGACACTTGCTGCACTCGTCCCCCACACCCACTCCACATCGAAGAATCGGTTCGCTACTTTTCCGGCCACCCGAAGTCTTGGCCCAACACGTCGTACAGCTTCTGATTGTGCTGGCCGAAGTGTTCCCGGAGCTTGGCCACGACCGACGGCCGGACGTCCGGGTGCTTCCGGCCCTTGGTCTCCTTCAGGCACTTGTCCACAGGCCCATACCGCAGACAGTAGAACCCCTTGGTCCGGTTGAAGTAGAAGTTGTCGGCGCCGATCCTGTGCTCGAGGCCCAGGAACGTCTCGATGCGGTTCAGCTCGGACACGGGGTTGGTGATGAGTCGGTCGCCGTTGACCACGAACAACTGCTCCCTGGGGAACACGTCCAGCCACCGGTAAACGTGGTTATGGTAAGTGGACACGGACACCGGCCGGTAGTTGGTGTTTACCGTGCCGTCCGGCTTCACCACCAGCTGCTCGAACGACCTACTGCTGCGGTTCGCCAATGGGTTGCTGTGCAACTGCGTATAATCCGATATGGCCCTGATCACGGGATCCCTGAGGATGAGAAGCAGCTTAATGCTCGAGTTCATCGCCTTGATGCGTTCTGGTACCTGAAAACGAGACGTTCAAAGTAATAACGTTCATATTATGATATGATAGGTATAATGTATCTGTATTATGGTATAATATATTATATAGGTGCCTTTATTTAATATTATATCACATATTACTTTTAAATAAATAATTTTTAAGATTTTTGAATTTTTTGAATTCTGATTTCTGAATATTTAAATTAATAACCGAAAAGTTTTAGTTTCTATTTATTTAAACTTTCTTTAAACAGCGAAAGATATTATTTGATATACTTAATTTTTTCCAAATTTTAACTCTTAATAATTAATTATGAAAAAGAGCTATATTGGATCAATCTTCGATTAATATTAATCACATTATTATATCGTTATATAAATTATATAGGTTATTATAAAAATAAATTTTTATTATAAATAAATACTTAGTTTACAGATAGCAAATTATAAGATTATGTAAGAAAAAATTTTTTGTTATAAATATATATGTATAATAAATAGGCACTTAAAAAGTTCAAACCGTATAAGTAAATTTTTCTAAACAACTACAGTTGACTAAGATATTTAGTATAGACAATTAAATGGACCACTCCGGATAGGTAAATACATTTCAGCAGTTGTTGTTGTTATATTATGTAAAACGAGCTGCTTCGTGAAACAGTCATGTCTTACCATGTTTTGTCAAACGAACACTCACCATATTAAGTTTTTCATGGTTTGTGAATTGCGAGTCTGGTGCAATTTAGAGTACCTAACACAGCTTACTGCTGTACTAAATATTTATAAATGTAAAACAAAATATTCAAATTACAATTTTTTCCATAAATTTATAAGTATCAGCATAAAATGCTACGAATTAAAAATATATTATAAATAATCTGTTTTAAAATTTTCTATTTTTAGAATATATTTTATTATTTGATGATAGATGATAATATATATCATTATGATTTATTTTGTTAAAATATCGTAAAGTTAGTGCTATATACGAGACGGAAAATAATTATCTCACCTCGGTTAAAACAATAACTGAAATTATTTTGTTTTTAAAAAGTCTAATTTGTCCGTTAAAACAATTTATTTATTATTTTAATATTCATTTATATTTTGAAATGTATTAAATAAGTTGAAGTCCTACTTTAATGTGTTGTCTCCGTTACTCATGACAGCATATTTTACGTTCATAATAATTAATTTAATTCCGTTATTATTTGTTTTATATTAGAGTGAATTTACCCATACATTTAGACATAAGAACGTCATCTACAGCCCAAAACATACTTTTTTACATATTAATTTTAAAGCAACATTTTTAAAATGTACCAAATATGCGTTAGGGAGACGGAGGCAATTACAATCATTATTATTTATTACATTTATTATTATTTATACCTTACAATTTATTGGCATTTTATATTTTTTGTTCATCATATAATATAATATTATGATAATGCAGAGACGCACTCAAAAAAAAAAAAAAAAACTCAAATCTAAAACATTGGATATTTTGTAGTTCGGTTAGGTATATACACTATAATATTATTATAATATAACGACAAGGGTTTTACTGAACTCCGAGACTTTCAGAGTATAATAACTGAGTGTACCAGAGATTACCACTCGATGTGCTAAAAGTAGTTTCTAGGTAACAATCGGCGGAAATATACGTAGGTGTTCATGTATCCCATAGAACACAATATGACGTCCCTGAAAGGATCACTAAACTCGTGTACAACAACGCCAATATCAAAGATATCGTGTTACACCGTTGGCGTGAAATGCATTTTGTGATTTTTTTTCGATAGGTAGGTACATAGCAAAAATCCGAACAATGGAAATAATTCCTTGGAGATGATACGTACACTTCACTGCGAGTCTTCGTTTAATTAACAAAACAATATTATGATGGAATAAGAGCTGCAGTATATCATAATAATAATAATAATAATATAATGCATTACGCGTTTTGTGGTATATCAGCTTTTCTTTGTTTGTTTGTGGTTATAATAATATATTATATTATGTTGGTTGAAATAATAATAACATCGCGTAGGTGTATAATACGTAGGTAATATACTGCAGCGCACGTCTCGCGAAGATTTACGATTTTCCATGTGACGGTGGGTAACAATGTGCAAACACTCTATTAACACACCACTTTAAATTAGTACGAATCCTCGTGGGACACCCTGTATGCGTATAATATGCATTTAAATATTGAACGGTCGTATGAATAAAACTATTATATTGATACAACGTTAACAATAATAATATTATAACAGTATATTGTAATATCGTATAATATTGTTGCATCAGAGACGCGGATGCTCTCTCAACAATCGACGTCGGTTATTAATACAATATAATATATTAGTGTATTCAATGTGTAACGCGTGTTATATTGTTATACATATTATAATAATAGAGACCACGAAATGCGTTCGAATACGAATCGTAATAGTTTTTTAACACCGTCGTCGTAATGACCTGCGGTGCATGTGGCAATAAGTATTTCACCGAGGCGAATTGCAAACGACTCGCGAATTATTATGATTCATATTATTATTATTATTATTATTATTATTACTTAGACGGTCGGCGCTATCTCTAAGAGCAAATCAAACGACGAGTGCCTCCACTAATTATTACTGCAGTGGCAAGTCGTGAATATTTTCAAACCTTCAAACCCTCGCGTGCCATATAATAAACGTCCACAGTGCGTATATATTATTACTGTTATTATTATTATTATAATTATTATATAGTTATATATTAGATCGCGTTAAACAGTATTCGGTCTCAGACGACGGTTAATTGAAACAAGACACGGAATAAACCCAAAAATGAGGCGTCTATCAAAGCGTCATTAGTATATAGTTTGGTGAATGCTTTACGAGGTGTGACTGTTTAATAACGATACTATCGGATTAGTGGATATAAGGCCAGTGGAAATACTTGAATAATATATGTATTTTTTTTTTTTTTTTGGATTATCACTGCAATGAAAAATATCGGTACAATCAGTTGCCGTCTTCAGCTTACCGCGTGACTGTTGAAGTATGTCGAGCAGTGTGTCGAAGTTGAATGAAAAAATTGTGTAGAGTATTACTTTAAAATTTCTAGTAAAACTGCTAGGAAAGCAGATCGTTTAAATCATTTTAACATTAACAGATGTGTATATATAGGGATGCTATCATAGTATCACAACCACGTGTTTTTGAGTGACACAAACCATAACATGATACAAGATAACATGATACCCACAGGTTTTTTTTTTTTAATTTTCGGGGGCTTTGAATTTGCAGGAATACCAGGAGTGATGGCAGGAATTGATAGGAATGGAGCACTAAATATTAGAAAAAGTTGAAAAATTTAAATGGCTGGTGGGGAAATGTACGTCATTTGCAGGCCGTGTTTATCATATTGTTCGATGTTAAGGTTATAATTATGAGTGAATTTATGCCCTACGAACGAACTTTAAATAAACATTTGAGTCTTAATAATTCTCCAAGAACAAATAAGAAAAATGCAGCCCGAACGGAGGGAGAACGGCCCTTTGATCTTGCACCAAAGCAATGCGGTGGATCATAAAGTGGTTTCTGTAAAGCAGTTTCAGGCCAAAATTAGAGCTCGGGGATTCATCAATCAGATATTAGAAATGGTGCTTATACCTTAAAATGATCTTTTTGTCACGCTTGCACCGAAAGTTTAGTTTTCGATGAAGGTTGAAGCGTTGGAAAGTGACCTTTTTCCGTGCAGCGGGCGGTAAAATGGGAATCCCCATAGTGCCACGGGGTGGTAAAGTGGAAATCCCAAAAAGTGCCGGGTGGTAAAATGGAAATTCCCAAAAGTGCTGGGTGGTAAAATGTAAATTCCCAAAAGTGCTGAGCGTGCATATCACGCGTATTCCCTGCTCCACTGAAATATATACCACAGTTCATACAAAACATAAACTTTTGGTTACATTATAACCTCCATGCATGACGCTTAAAACAAATAAAACCAAAACGTTTCTTTCGTGAAATATTGTTTTCGTAGAATAGTGTGATTGTTGCATAGATCGTCAGAATACCTTTGCAGTGATCGATGACAAAAAACAGTATGTGTGGCTCGAGAGGGAAGGCAATTTCAGTCTTGGGCGAAATGCAGCCCTCGCCTGCTACTGAAATAGCTCACTTCCCACCCTTGTCACACAATATACTATTATTTAATTCACGTGCGGATTTTAATCACGTCGGACTCCATTTATACTATAATTATTAGTTATGAATATGTTTGTCAATAATGCATACCTTTTACTTAAAGCGATCCAATTCACCGGCCATCTCTGACTTCCGTTTCCGTAATGTGTGCTTTTTCGAAATCATTTTTTTTAAATAGTCTCTCTTACAGTGAGAACATATACGAGTAAAGAAACCTCATACTAAAATACAGCCCTGCAAAATTCCAAGTCGACGGCTAATGTATAAAACGTATTATATCAAACGAACGGTAAATAACGTGTACGTCACGGCTTATAATAAATTTATGTTGTGCGAATCGAGCGTGGGGAAAAAAACGATGAAAAGCATATAGTAACCAAGTCGCATATAACATATATCATGTGATAATATAGGTTAAGGTATAAACCCGTGGTTCCCTAAAAATGACGATAATAATAATATTTTATAATTTCATTAAATCGAAAAAGTTTCTACTCCGTCGTCGGGGACATCTCCTGTATAATAGCACCACGCGCCATTATGCAGTTTATTATTAATATTACTATAACTACTGTTATAACTATTATTACCCACTGTAAGTTGTTGTATTATATTTTATTGAAGCGAAACGTATTTCGATTATCATCAGCCCACCGCTTTGGGTGGTGCTCATCATGCGTACATATTGCGTGGGTACCTAAGTAAACGTTTTCAAACGGATATTATTATTATCATAGTATATTATTTATAGTATATAATGACTGTTCTTAAGATATAAACGCTTTTCCAAAAATCTGATGACGCACGTCCGATAAGAGG